AATGTGTCTGCAGCTCTAGAGTTCTCAGGTAGAGTGTTCCAGATTTTAGGGCCTTTGACATACATTGAATTTTTGTAAGGTTTAGTCGGACACGGGGAATGTCGTTAAGATTTTGTGTTGGTGTTATGCCTGTGGGTTCTGTCACAACTACAAGAAAGCGTTTTAGGTCAAGGTTGATATTGGAGTTTAAGGTCCTGTAGATGTAGACTGCACAGTAGTAAGTGTGGATGTACTGAACAGTGAGTAAGTTTAGATCATGAAGAGTGGGAGGGGTTCCCAGGGATGGGATTTAGTGGTTATTCTTACTGCAGCTTTTTTTTGGGGTTTATTATTGGCTTTGGGTGTGTTGCTGCAGTTGATCCCAAGCACAAATAGCATAGGTGAGGTATGGATAAATAAGTGAGTGGTTTTAGTGTGAGAAGGGCATTTTGGCGGCACGTAGTATCGTATCTTGGAGAGGTCCCCACCGTTTTGGATACTTTTTGGTTATGCGGGTTTGGGTATGGGTGCTGAAATTCAGGTTGTTGTCAAGGTATAGGCCTAGGAATTTTCCCTCATTATGTCTGGTAATTAGAGTGTTGTCGATCTTAATGTTTTAAATTTTTGCATCTACTGCTCCCGCTACCAAACATATATAGTAGGTTTTGTCAGTGTTAAGCGTAAGTTTATTGGCTGTCATCCCAAGTAGATATTTTGATCAGCTCCTCATTAACAATTGGGTTGAGGGTGGAAAGATTAGGGTGAGAGATGACATAAGTCGTGTCGTCGCAAAGAGAAGGGGTTTTCAGGTGTTGGGAAAACTTTTGGAAGATCATTGATGTATAGAGGAAGAGCAGGGGCCCAAAGGGACACTTCCCTGGGGAACTCCAGTATCAAGTGGCCGTGTTGTTGATGCTGTGTCTTTAAAATGGTGGTATACTGATACCTATTAGTAAGGTAAGATTTGAAAATAAGAAAAGCTCAGGGCCTCTTATACCGTAATGGTCAATTTTGTGGAGTAGGATGTCGTGGTCTACTGTGTCAAAAGCTTTTCTTAGGTCAATAAAAATTCCTAGTGGATTTTCCTTATTTTCCAATGCTGTGTAAAGCAGATGTAGCATTTTTATGAATGCATCATTTAGTGCTTTTATTTTTCCTAAAACCAAATTGGCAGGGGTTTGAGTATGTTTTGTGCTGTTATAAATGAATATAGTTCCCTGTGCACGATTTTCTCAAAAAATTTTGGATAGCAATGGTAAGTTTGAATTGGCCTATAGTTTTTTTAAGTCTGTATTGTCACCACCTTTATGAATTGGTGTAACCCTTGCCATCTGAGTAGTTTCGGGAAGGTGCTAGTTTCTAGTGACTTGTTAAAAAGTAAAAATAGCATGCGAAAGGATATGGGCCGCTCCTTGTACATAATGGTGGGACATGAGACAGATTCCCTGAGTTATTTTTAAGTGACCTTTATAATCTCGGTGATTTCCGAGGGCTCAGTTGGTGCAAGTTAGAAGGAATTTGGGAAATTCCCATCTAAGGTAGTCCCCGCATGGGCATTGGTATGTGGTTTTCATTGGCGAAAATAGATCCTATGGTTGAGAAGAAGTCGTTTATCTTGTTAGCTGTGTCAGTGGGATGTAGTGGTGTTTCACTAGGTTTAGTTAGGACAATATTCTTGTTTTTTTTTCATTTTTGTGGGCCCCTAGAATCTGAGAGAGTGTTTTCCAGGTCTTTTTATATCTCCTCTAGTGTCTGTGAATCTACTGGAGTAGTATAGTTTTTTGGGTTTTCTTTATTACTTTGGTGAAACTGATGAATAGTGTTTAAGAATATCTTTGTGAATTAAGGCCCTGTCTATATTGCTTTTCATATTGGTGTTTCTTGTCAATGGATTTCAGAATGGTGCTGGTTAGCCATGGGCAACCAAGCCGTTTGTTTGTGATCCGTTTCGTTTTTATAGGACAATGTTTGTTGTATAGCCTAAGTAATTTGTTAAGAAAAATGTCTGTCCAGTCATCAATATACCATTGGCCTTGGAGAATTCTGTAGGCCAGTCAACAGTCTCTAGGTCAGCTGTGAACTTCCTTATTGAGGCCTCGTCATGGAGTCTAAATGAGACTTTGTTGAATTCAAGTGGTGGTTTACTAATGTTTGTCAGGAGGAAGGTAGGGTAGTAGTCTGTAGTGCTATCTGTGATTATCCCTGATTTAAGGGGGGCTAGTATATTGGTCCATATGCGATCTATTATGGTTGCACTTGTCTCAGTGAGCCTGGTTGGTTTAGTTATTGTTGGTATGAGAAGTGTGTTGTTCATATTGTTGATGAAATCAGTTACAGGGTGATCATCAGTAAGCCAAGGCTGATGTTGAAGTCTCCACTAAGAGAAGGTGGTGCTATTCATTTGTCCCGTTTGTTATTAGTGACTTTAATTTCTCCCCTGAAATTTGGGATGTTTGTGTGAGGTATCCGGTAAATGGCACCGATTGTTATAGGTGTCTTAAGGTGTTTTACAGTAAAATTAGCAAAAAATGTACTCCCCATATTCATCACTAAAGCAAGTGGTGTTAATACAAGATAATTGGTTAGAGTAATAGATTGCAAACCACCCCCAACTTGGTTGGTCTGCAGTTGTGAATTGCTGTGTTCCTGGGAGGGTAGATATCTATTTTGTCCTGCTTAAGCCAGGTCCCCAGTAAGAATAATGGGAGGAGAAGGGTGTCTTTAGTGATTCAAGGAGTGCCAGGAGGTCATCATAGTGTTTGCTTAAGAACCTGATGTTGTAGTTAAGTATTGATAGACTTGTAGCATTGTTTAGGATAGTGCTGGCTTGTGATGCTGTGTAATAAAGGCAGTTACTTTCAAATAGGTTTTGATTGGGTGTCAGATTATGGAGGTTTAGATCAGGGTCAACGTGATCAACCATCTTCTAAGTTTAAATTTTGGTTATTTATATCCTGAGTTGTGTGTTGCGTTCTAGTACTGATATCTGTAGTGGTGGGAAGTTTGGATAAGTATATAGCTAGAATATTTTGGTCATATAGAGTATAGTCACTACTACACATAATGAAGTTGATGTTGTCTATGTGTTGAGCTGGAATGGGTTGTAAGCTAAGTCATTTCTAATGTAGGCACATACTCCACCACCCTTTCTGTTCCTATCTAAGTGTTTTATATTGTAACCTTCTATTTTGACCTCGTCGTCAGTCACTGTATCATCCAACCAGGATTCAGAGATGGTTATAACTGCCGCCCTAATTTTGTTAGCTAGAATCCTAATCTCTGCCAATTTAGGAAGAAGTGATCTTGCGTTGACATGAATAAAGTGAAGGCCTGTTTTCATAAAACAATTATAATCATCAATATATGGCAATGGGTCATATGTATTAAAATTATGTAAATCAATGTCATCATTGCTAAAGGGTAACTGTGCCAAAGTGCATTTGTTACACACAAAATGAATTCTGGCACCGTTGCTATAATTGTACATACATCCATCATGCACCCACCCTTTACACATTTTACATAAGGTGCCTTTTCTGTTTTTCATGCGTACTTTAGTACATTGTATGCACCTGTTTGGTAGTGTTTGAGATAATAATGGCTGTATTGTCTCACATTGACCTATGTATGCATTACATATGGAGTTAAGGTTATCATTCCTAGCTACTAGACCGTCATTATCACCGTCATTTATCTGTCTGTTTTGCCTCTGCACAATAGTTTGAGGTCTTGGATTAATTTGGATAAGACCACTTAAGAGCGCTTCAATAAGAGCTGTGTGCCACTGTTTTTGTTTGGGTATGCGGTGTTGCCATACCTTGCGGCGATAGTGACATTTACTTTTCTGGTAGGATGGCAACTGTTGGGCTTTTACTGTCCAGGGCGCTGTTACTCCATTCGCCTTTTCCAGCCCCCATGACTGATCTCTTTCTTCATGGAATTGAAGAAGAAAGATAAATATAATTATGGCAGCCTATACCTCCCTAATGCCTGCCATTTTCACTCTTCGCTCTTTTACTCATATACAGTAATATTTATTTCTCTTTTCCAGTCACCTAGTACACCCTAGTATCTGCTTTAGCAATCACCACTGAATTACTAGTAAATTTTCTTCTTCAAAACCCTCTTCACTGCTCACTTTTCCCTTAACTTCACAAACCCCTTTCAGTTAACCCCTTATTACACACTCCCCTTCCTGCCTCACTTCACAGTCCGGCTTCACCTATTAACTTCTAACTCCTTTCCATTCTGGTAGACCAGAAAGATTTAATCAATGGTTTTATCCTTCCAAAATCCCCTCAATTCCATTTATCGGGGGTTGTGTGGTGTTGTTGACTGCCTGACCTGGTCTGCTGACTCAGCCATTTTTAAAACACAGAGGGAAGTAAACGCCACCTACAACCTGACTTTCCTTGAGTTTATAGATATATTTGGCGTTTTCTGCTATAATTCTCTCACTGTACACTGGTCAGCTGAATATAGGTCAGCTACTAAAACATTAACCTTGACTGTTTAACTATTCACTTCTTTCCCACGACTGTCACTGAGGGATAACCGTCCTATAACCTTGGAGTTTTGTACTGTTGATTTGACAATGTCTCCTGTGTTTCCCTCTCGTTAGCCCTGGTACAGGTGATATGATGGTGGTACAGATATGATGCTACTGTCAACAGATGAACGTCAGTAAAGATGAGAACATCACTTCGCTAGTTGTACGTCTGGCAGTAGCTGCTAAGTCACAAAGTGTCTTATGATCCATAATAGGACTGCATGGACATGGTGGACTGCATGCGTCTCATGCAGCCATTTAAGGACATTTACTCCCTTTAAAATTCTGTAACCCCAGATATCCCGCTTCATTATCTTACACGTATACCTTATCCTGCTTGTAACCTCATGTCCACCTCTTTATTGTAGTTCACATACTCTCCATCCTTCTTGTAAACCCAAGTTTTGCGCCTTATTACAGTACATGTATTCCTCATCCCGCTAGTAATGCCAGGTTTACTGTCTCTCTGCAGCACGAGGACGGGGTGTCGTTCACGGGTCTGAGGAGACTTCTGGAGTATGAGGTGACCAACTTCAACATGACACAGCTCCAAAATCCGCTAATGTCCAGCCAGAGGGTAAGTAAGAAGGGGACATTTCTTGTCACCCTCTTGCTCTGATTCAAATCACATACCTCTACTCTTTCACTGAACTCCATATTCGCTCTCTTCCTTCAGGTTTGCTCACTAGGACTATGGGGAATGAAGATGTTGCAGTTGAATATTCAGTAACCTTTTTGTTCAGCATCTCCTCTATCATACTCCTAATTATCTCTTTAGCTTGCTTAGAGTGTCTATACAATGGCGTCCTGATGGGGTCATTATCAGTCATGGATATCTGGGCATGAGGATCATGGATTTTCCCCAGCTTGGATTCATCTAAAATGAGCAGTTGATCAAACGACAGCAATAAATCCTTTAATTTTGTCTATTTCTTACTATTAAGTGGATCTAACCTTAATTCTTGTAACATTGATAACTAACTAACTCTCTCTCTCTCTCTCTCTCTCTCTCTCTCTCTCTCTCCTCTCTTCTCTCTCTCTCTCTCTCTCTCTCTCTCTCTCCAAGTTTGAGTAACAGGCATCTGGTCACTGAGGTAACAACATTTTCAATAATATGGGGAGTATACTAGCGACCTGTACACTTGGGTTACATATCGTACAGTCTACAATATCACCTTTTTGACAAGTACGATTCTGTTCCTCAGCTGCATTCTTGTAAGTTTTATAATGAGTAGGACACAGCTTAACATTAACATCTATATAAGCCAGCGGAAAGTATTTTTCCTCGTATCTTAACCTTCGTCATCAAACAATGATTTATATTCTACTTGACTATCATCCAGTGACAGTGAGCAACAATAGTTACGGGTTTAATTTTTAATCTTTTGTTGCTCATATTCCTAAGGGGTAGGAACACTCCACCTTCATCATCAGACATACATACCACAGCGGGTTCACTTAAAACTTTCTTTTCACCTTTAAATGTCCAAAGTTTTTCAAATAAATATAAGGTTCGTGGTTTCAAATTTCCCACTGACAATTGTATGGTTCAATTTGTAAAGTTTTTCAAATCTGGACATAGTTTATCTGTTTTTCTCTCTCTTACTCTTAATCATTTGCATTTTGGTCAGTTTCTTGGCAATAGTATAATTCTTTAAAGGATATTCCTGCGTTTCCCACTGAATGTTATCCTGCTTGGTATTCCACACAATTGATGCTCTGGCTGTCAGATCTGCACCTAACAGAACATCTACATCCATGTTAAATAGAAGGACACAAGTGCAACTTATGTGACATTTTATTGTGGCCCCCCATACCATCCATCATTAAGTGGTCTGGCAGAGAGGGCAGAACAATGAAGGAAGGTTTAACAAATTTACAAAGGGTCTCTCAATACCAGCTTATGTAGGTTCTCTTATAACCATATGAAAATTGTTCATTCCTCTACTGGAAAGACAACAGCAGAAATTATGTTTAATAGTCATGTTAGGGAAGACAAGTCATTGTTTAACATGCCTGCTGGTGAGAAGTAATTTGAAGATTATGTTTTGTATACCAGAAATTTTGGGAAATGTGACCCTTGGGTAGAAGAGAAGATTGTGGAGGTATTTTGGATTAACAGTTATAAAGTGCAAATTAAAGGCTTTGGTAATATGATATGGAAAAGGCAAACAGATCAACTTATGCCACGGTTCAGAAGTGATGAAGAACAAACACTGACTCCAACAGTACCAGAAGCTGTAAGGAATTGGTTGGTAATTCCTGGTTAGTATGGGAACAGGGTACCTTTATGGTCAGAGGAACTGCCCACAATAAGCAGTGATAATAAACTGAAGGATCAGGTCAGGAAGAAACTCCTGGAAGGTTTGATGAAGACATCAGTGTGAGAGGAGAGGTTGCAACACAGGACAGTGCCAACACTCCATATCTCAGACGTTCCAGAAGAGTAGTCAAACCTCCAGACAGGTTGGATTTAAAAGTAGCTTTGGATGATGAGTTAATCTTTATATTGTAATATTACATCTTTTTTTGATGATGTAATTAGAAATGGAGGGATGTAAAGTGTTGGGAGCAGTGAGAGAATTAAATACTCTTTGTTATGTTCAATCATCTATTGTTGTTGTGGTGTTGATAGTGGTTGTTGACCGGGACTTTGGTGAAAGTACAGTTGTTATTGTTACTCTGGCTTCCATTATACCCTACAACTATAACAGTAACATTGTCGTATAGTTGATGGTTCAATAATGGCTTTGTATAAACCATTTACATTATTCCTTCATTCATTAAGCAACTCCTGGTTATGTTTTCTAAGCATAAAATAAGTTGATACTGTCATAAGAACATAAGATAAAGTTCACTTTAGTATTCTCTTCAGAGTTTAAGAAACATTAAAATATTTGTTCCTTTTAACTGTAATATGACGTGACCGATATTAAAAATTGAAATATAATTTTAATGTAATGTTTTACTATATTTATTGCAGAGCTTAAAGCTTACCTTTATTATATTATTTTATTGGTAATATATTTACTACTGGTTCGTGATATGATTTTTTTTAGATGTTCCTGGAGTTGAAGAACCTGGTTGGGTACTACATCAGCAGTGTTTATATCCCCACACTCCTCCTGCTCATCATCTGTTACCTCACTCTTTTCTTCGACATCAATGACTTCAGTGTACGTTTCCTCACGAGATCTAAAATATTGAAAGGGTGAAGTATACGTACGTTGTTTACATCCAGCTGCTCTGATCAAGTTGTAAAAATAGATAACTTTGTGCTACCTGACTGTTGTGGGTCACATTCAAGAAGGATAATTTGGCCAAGAAAATATGTAGATAACGATCTACTCTGTGATATATTAGGAATAATTTATTAAGGGTTTGAATCACATTAGAGAGATCCCCTCCCCCAGTCAGCCTCGGAATATTCCAGCACAACTTAGAGCCTTTACCATGACTTAATTAAGAACTGCCTCGATTATTTTTATGACTTTTCTTTGATTCACTGACTATGTGGATTTGAGGGGAAAAAGAAACAAATGTACCAACAAAACTGTGATGATGTGAGAGAAGAAAGTAGCATTGCAAATCTTGGGAGCTGATGCAACAATACACAAATAACCCGCACATAAAAGAGAGAAGCTTACGACGACGTTTCGGTCCGACTTGGACCATTGACAAAGTCACCGTGTGACTTTGTCAATGGTCCAAGTCGGACCGAAACGTCGTCGTAAGCTTCTCTCTTTTATGTGCGGGTTATTTGTGTATCGTTCCAGTCACGGTATTGTGCCTTTTTGTTATTTATTGATGCAACAAGTTGCAGAAGTGACAGTTATATACGTCTCCGAGACAAACCACCACTGCTGAATGCTACCATATATACATAGTCTGCTACATACACCACCTCACTTAATTCCTTCTTAATATTTCATTTTTCACTGACTTTCGTTAATTACGAATTTTCTGGGATTCATTAAGAATTCCCGAAGAACTACCTTCAGGAGGCTGCCTGCACGTTTTCCCAATATTTTTATTTTATTTTGCTCATAACTCGAGACCACATCATCCAACCATTTTCAAATTAACAAAACTAATGTACGATAATGAGAACTAAATTCTAGGAACAACTGTCAAGTTCACAAACCCATTTCCAACATCCTAGAATCTTCAATGGTGTACCTTCAGACGTGTACAAAATCCTTCAGACGTGTATAAAATCCTTCAGACGTGTACAAGAAGTGGTGGTGGTGATGGTGGTGGTGATGGTGGTGGTGGTGGTGGTGGTGGTGGTGGTGGTGGTGGTGGTGATGATGGTGGTGGTGATGGTGGTGGTGATGGTGGTGGTGATGGTGGTGGTGATGGTGGTGGTGGTGGTGGTGGTGGTGGTGATGGTGGTGGTGGTGGTGGTGGTGTGATGGTGGTGGTGATGGTGGTGGTGATGGTGGTGGTGATGGTGGTGGTGGTGGTGGTGGTGGTGATGATGGTGGTGGTGGTGGTGGTGGTGGTGGTGGTGGTGGTGGTGGTGATGGTGGTGATGGTGTTAGTGGTGATGGTGGTGGTGGTGGTGGTGGTGGTGGTGGTGGTGGTGGTGATGGTGGTGGTGGTGATGGTGGTGTGGTGGTGGTGGTGGTGGTTGGTGGTGGGTGGTGGTGGTGGTGGTGGTGTGGTGATGGTGGTGGTGGTGATGGTGGTGGTGGTGGTGATAATGATGGTGATGGTGTTTGTGGTGGACGTGGTGGTGGTGATGCTGGTGATGGTTTTAGCAGTGGAGGTGGTAGTGGTTGGTGGTGACGGTGGTAGTGGTAGTAGTAGTGTTCGTGGTGTTGGTGGTGCTGTTGTTGGTGGTAGTGATGGTGGTGGTGGTGATGGTGGTGGTGATGATGGTTGTGATGGTGGTGGTGGTGATGGTGGTGGTGGTGATGGTGGTGGTGGTGGTGGTGGTGGTGGTGGTGGTGGTGGTGGTGGTGGTGGTGGTGTGATGGTGTTGTGGGGGTGGTGTGGTGGTGATGGTGGTGGTGGTGGTGGTGGTGGTGATGGTGGTAGTGGTGATGGTGGTGGTGGTGGTGGTGGTGGTGGTGGTGGTTGGTGGTGGTGGTGGTGGTGGTGGTGGTGATGGTGTTGGTGGGGGTGGTGGTGATGGTGGTGTTGATGGTTGGTGGTGGTGTAGCACGTGATGCACGACTCATAAGAAAGAGAACACTGCAGCAGGCCCACTGCAGGGTTCTCTTATGAGTCGCGCGTCAGGTGTTGCTTTGTTTTGGGATGTGATAGTGAGGTGTGGGCTAGACCCTTTATATATCTTCCTTTGATGCATTACTTTTATTGTTCCTTGATAATGTGAGTAGTCACGAAAGCGCTTGGAATTTCTCTATTCTTTCACAGTGGTTGTTTTGCATAATCTGAAATCACCTGTTTACTGTGATCTTATTGCATGTGTATAAATATATATATATATATATATATATATATATATATATATATATATATATATATATATATATATATATATATATATATATATATATATATATAGTACAAAATACACACACGCAAACTTCCAGTTGTTCCAGTTGTGACCCCTTGATGCTGCGTCCAATCTCTGGACAATCCTGTCTATCACAAGGTGGACAGAGACAGAATGTGACTCAGATGAGTCACAGGGATGTTAAGAAGTAAGGAATCGTTCAAGACTCTGTACACCGTGTACGTCAGGCCCTTACTGGAGTACGCAGCACCACTTTGGAATCCACACCTGGTCAAGCACGTCAAGAAAGTGCAAAGGTTTTGCAACAAAACTAGTCCCAAAGCTAATGGTATTGTCCTCCAGTTACCTGACTACACTGGAGGACAGGAGGGTCAAGGGAGACATGATAATGACATATAAAATACTGCTAGGAATTGACAAGGTGGGCAAAGGGATGTTAGGAAGTATTTCTTCAGTCACAGAGTTGTCAGTGACGTAGTGGAGGCGGGAATCATACATAGTTTTAAGACGAGGTTTGATAAAGCTCATGAAGCAGGGAGAGAGAGGACCTAGTAGCGATCAGTGAAAAGGCGGGACCAGGAGTTGTGAATCGACCCCTGCAACCACAAATTGGTGAGTACACTCACAAACACACACATACACACACCTGCAGCATATGGGCGCCTAGCAAACCTGAAAACAGCATTCCGGCATCTTAATAAGGAATCATTCAGGACCCTGTACACCGTGTACGTTAGGCCCATATTGGAGTATGCGGCACCAGTTTGGAACCCACACCTAGCCAAGCACGTAAAGAAACTAGAGAAAGTGCAAAGGTTTGCAACAAGACTAGTCCCAGAGCTAAGAGGTATGTCCTACGAGGAGAGGTTAAGGGAAATCAACCTGACGACATTGGAGGACAGGAGAGATAGGGGGGACATGATAACGACATACAAAATACTGAGAGGAATTGACAAGGTAGACAAAGACAGGATGTTCCAGAGATTGGACACAGTAACAAGGGGACACAGTTGGAAGTTGAAGACACAGATGAGTCACAGGGATGTTAGGAAGTATTTCTTCAGCCACAGAGTAGTCAGTAAGTGGAATAGTTTGGGAAGCGATGTAGTGGAGGCATGATCCATACATAGCTTTAAGCAGAGGTATGACAAAGCTCACGGTTCAGGGAGAGTGACCTAGTAGCGACCAGGAGCTAGGACTCGACCCCTGCAACCTCAATTAGGTTAGTACACACACACACACACACAACACACACACACACACACACACACACACACACACACACACACACACACACAAAATGGTAACTAACTAACACACACACACACACACACACACACACATGTACATCACTTAAACAATAAATATGAAAAAAATAATTATCATAAATTTTTATCATTTTTATAGGCCTAAACAAAGCATCAGCAGTTTGTATTTGATATTTTATGAATAACAGAGAATTGTAAACACTATTACATAAATAATCGTGTTATTCTATATTAAAATACTGAAAAGACAATATTCCTGCAGTATGAATTGATTTTGTTTGTACTATGAGATATTTTCCCTGCAGGACCGTGTGATGGTCTCACTCACGTCACTGCTGGTCCTGGCCGCTCTCTTCTCTCAAACAAGTCAAGCCATCCCCAAGACTGCATATCTCAAGCTCATAGATGTCTGGTTTGTCTTTCTTATTGTCGTGGAATTCACTGTAGTCCTCATCTTAGTAATCACAGAGAATCTACGATATAGGATAGGCAAAGTTCCTCCCAAGAATGTAAAGGTGATATCAGGACACACATCATTTGGGCAGAATTTCATGACTCTGCCAGTTGCTGTAGACAGTAAGGACGTTCATCAGTGCGCCATCATGATGAACAAGGTAGCCCAGGTTACTCTGCCAGTTCTTGTCATTCTGTTTATTGTGGGTTATTTCATCGTCTGCTTTGTTTTTTTCTAAATGTCTGAAATTTAATCATTGTCTTGGTGTGTAGATAAATTGTTCAGAGGACCGACGAGTGGATAAACTAGACACATGTGTAATACTTGGTATCTTTGGTGTGGAGACGTATCGTCACACAGTGGCTTCATCTGTCCAATGCTAAAATGAAAAGTAAAGATCAGAAGGAGATTGAGATAATCAGTCCCTCAGCCTGTAGTCAACGTAATCTGTACATCAAGATTAATGGACTGATTACATTGATTCCAGTCTGAGGGACTGATTATATCGACTCCAGACTGAAGGACTGATTACATCGACTCCAGGCTGAGGGACTGATTACATCGACTCCAGACTGAGGGACTGATTACATCGACTCCAGGCTGAGGGACTGATTACATCGACTCCTGACTGAGGGACTGATTACATCGACTCCACGCTAAGGGACTGATTACATCGACTCCAGGCTGAGGGACTGATTACATCGACTCCAGACTGAGGGACTGATTACATCGACTCCAGACTGAGGGACTGATTACATCGACTCCAGACGAGGGACGGGATTACATCGACTCCAGACTGAGGGACTGATTACATCGACTCCAGACGGGGGACTGATTAATCGCTCCAAAACTGAGGACTGATTACATAGACTCCAGACTGAGGGACTGATTACATAGACCCAGACTAAAGGGACTGATTACCTCAATCTCCTTCTGATCTTCACTTTCCTTCCTTTCTATGGAAACGATGAAGCCACTGTGTGGGTTTGATACGTTCCTCACTAAAGATACTCAAGTGCTGCTCATGTGTCTAATTTATCAGCTTGGCAATAGTGAAATATACTGACAAACACACAGTAATGAATTCGTCAAAATAATGTCACATAACTTGAAGAGTTAAATAATATGTTAATCAGTGTATTGATAAGATTTATATTGAATAAGAAATAATTAACTTGAAATAAAGTTTTAATCTCTCACTGTTAAAAATAGTTTTTTTAGAATTGTTATTGATTTTATATAAATAATGATTAATTAATTCTCTAAGCACTATAAATAACATAGAAAATAACGGGGGGCGGGGGTTTGGGAAAATTCTCACCAAGCTATCAGTCTAAAGGAAGTTCATCAGATGCAGTGACTCAAAAGACACATCATCTGATGCAGTGACTCAGAAGACACACCCATCTGATGCAGTGACTCAGAAGACACATCACTGATGAGTGACTCAGAAGACACATCATCTGATGCAGTGACTCAGAAGACACATCATCTGATGCAGTGACTCAGAAGACACATCATCTGATGCAGTGACTCAAAAGACACATCATGTGCAGCAGTAACTCAGAAGACACATCATGTGTAGCAGTGACTCAGAAGACACATCATGTGTAGCAGTGACTTAGAAGACACATCATGTGAAGCAGTGACTCAGAAGACACATCATGTGCAGCAGTAACTCAGAAGACACATGTAAAGCAGTGGCTCAGAAGACACATCATGTGCAGCAGTAACTCAGAAGACACATCATGTGAAGCAGTGGCTCAGAAGACACATCATCTGATGCAGTGACTCAGAAGACACATATGAAGCAGTGACTCAGAAGACACATCATGTGAAGCAGTGACTCAGAAGACACATCATCTGATGCAGTGACTCAGAAGACACATCATGTGTAGCAGTGCTCAGAAGAACAAATCATGTGAGCAGTGACTCAGAAGACACATCATGTGCAGCAGTAACTCAGAAGACACATCATGTGAAGCAGTGACTCAGAAGACACATCATGTGCAGCAGTAACTCAGAAGACACATCATGTGAAGCAGTGGCTCAGAAGACACATCATGTGCAGCAGTAACTCAGAAGACACATCATGTGAAGCAGTGGCTCATAGGACACATCATGTGAAGCAGTGACTCAGAAGACACATATGAAGCAGTGACTCAGAAGACACATCATGTGAAGCAGTGACTCAGAAGACACATCATGTGAAGCAGTGACTCAGAACACACATCATGTGAAGCAGTGACTCAGAACACACATCATGTGAAGCAGTGACTCAGAAGACACAACCTGCGAAGCAGTGACTCAGAAGACACATCATGTGTATCAGTGACTCAGAAGACACATCATGTGTAGCAGTGACCGAAGACACATAAAGTGAAGCAGGGGACTCAGAAGACACATCATGTGAAGCAGTGAATCAGAAGGACACATCATGTGAAGCAGTGACTCAGAAGACACATCATGTGAAGCAGTGAATCAGAAGACACATCATGTGAAGCAGTGACTCAGAAGACACATATGAAGCAGTGACTCATAAGACACATCATGTGAAGCAGTGACTCAGAAGACACATCATGTGAAGCAGTGACTCAGAAGACACATGTGAAGCAGTGACTCAGAAGACACATCATGTGAAGCAGTGACTCAGAAGACACATAAATGTGAAGCATGACTCAAAAAGACACATCATGTGAAGCAGTGACTCGGAAGACACATCACGTGAAGCAGTGACTCAGAAGACACATCATGTGAAGCAGTGACTCAGAAGACACATCATATGAAGCAGTGACTCAGAAGACACATGTGTAGCAGTGACTCAGAAGACACATGTGTAGCACTGACTCAGAAGACACATCATCTGAAGCAGTGACTCAGAAGACACATCATCTGAAGCAGTGACTCAGAAGACACATCATGTGTAGCAGTGACTCAGAAGACACATCATGTGAAGCAGTGACTCAGAAGACACATCATGTGAAGCAGTGACTCAGACGACACATAATGTGTAGCAGTGACTCAGAAGACACATCATGTGTAGCAGTGACTCAGAAGACACATCATGTGAAGCAGTGACTCAGAAGACACATCATGAGTAACAGTGACTCAGAAGACACATCATATGTAGCAGTGACTCAGAAGACACATCATGTGTAGCAATGACTCAGAAGACATATGTGAAGCAGTGACTCAGAAGACACATCATGTGTAGCAGTGACTCAGAAGACACATCATGTGTAGCAGTGACTCAGAAGACACATCATGTGTAGCAGTGACTCAGAAGACATATGTGAAGCAGTGACTCAGAAGACACATCATGTGTAGCAGTGACTCAGAAGACACATCATGTGTAGCAGTGACTCAGAAGACACATCTGAAGCAGTGACTCAGAAGACAAATCATGGGGTACCCGTGACTCAAAAGACACATCATGTGTGGGCAGTGACTCAGAAGACACATGTGAAGCAGTGACTCAGAAGACACATCATCTGAAGCAGTGACTCAGAAGACACATCATGTGTAGCAGTGACTCAGAAGACACATCATGTGAAGCAGTGACCCAGAAGACACATCATGTGAAGCAGTGACTCAGAAGACACATCACGTGAAGCAGTGACTCAGAAGACACATCATCTGAAGCAGTGACTCAGAAGACACATCATCTGAAGCAGTGACTCAGAAGACACATCATGTGAAGCAGTGACTCAGAAGACACATCATGTGAAGCAGTGACTCAGAAAACACATCTGAAGCAGTCACTCAGAAGACACATCATGTGAAGCAGTGACTCAGAGGACACATCATGTGAAGCAGTGACTCAGAAGACACATCATGTGTAGCAGTGACTCAGAAGACACATCATGCGTGGCAGTGACTCAGAAGACACATGTGTAGCAGTGACTCAGAAGACACATCTTGTGAAGCAGTGACTCAGAAGACACATCATGTGTAGCAGTGACTCAGAAGACACATCATGTGAAGCAGTGACTCAGAAGACACATCATATGTAGCAGTGACTCAGAAGACAAATCATGTGTAGCAGTGACTCAGAAGACACATCATGTGAAGCAGTGACTCGGAAGACACATCATGTGAAGCAGTGACTCAGAAGACACATCACGTGAAGCAGTGACTCAGAAGACACATCATGTGAAGCAGGGACTCAGAAGACATATGTGAAGCAGTGACTCAGAAGACACATCATGTGTAGCAGTGACTCAGAAGACACATCATGTGAAGCAGTGACTCAGAAGACACATCATGTGAAGCAGTGACTCAGAAAACATATCACGTGAAGCAGTGACTCAGAAGACATATGTGAAGCAGGACTCAGAAGACACATCATGTGTAGCAGTGACTCAGAAGACAAAATCATGTGTAGCAGTGACTCAGAAGACACATCTGAAGCAGTGACTCAAAGACACATCATGTGTAGCAGTAAATCAGAAGACACATCATGTGTAAGCAGAGCTCAGAAGACACATCATGTGAAGCAGTGACTCAGAAGACACATCATCTGAAGCAGTGACTCAGAAGACACATCATGTGTAGCAGTGACTCAGAAGACACATCATGTGAAGCAGTGACCCAGAAGACACATCATGTGAAGCAGTGACTCAGAAGACACATCATGTGAAGCAGTGACTCAGAAGACACATCTGAAGCAGTGACTCAGAAGACACATCATGTGAAGCAGTGACTCAGAAGACACATCATGTGAAGCAGTGACTCAGAAGACACATCATGTGAAGCAGTGACTCAGAAAACACATCTGAAGCAGTCACCCCAGAAACACTCATGTGAAGCAGTGACTCAGAGGACACATCATGTGAAGCAGTGACTCAGAAGACACATGTGTAGCAGTGACTCAGAAGACACATCATGCGTGGCAGTGACTCAGAAGACACATGTGTAGCAGTGACTCAGAAGACACATCTTGTGAAGCAGTGACTCAGAAGACACATCATGTGTAGCAGTGACTCAGAAGACACATCATGTGAAGCAGTGACTCAGAAGACACATCATATGTAGCAGTGACTCAGAAGACAAATCATGTGTAGCAGTGACTCAGAAGACACATCATGTGAAGCAGTGACTCGGAAGACACATCATGTGAAGCAGTGACTCAGAAGACACATCACGTGAAGCAGTGACTCAGAAGACACATCATGTGAAGCAGGGACTCAGAAGACATATGTGAAGCAGTGACTCAGAAGACACATCATGTGTAGCAGT